CTCCAATTCGAAATCTTCTTTCACGATAGGTACACACTATAGCTACATTTTCATTTTTTCAAGATCAATCCTAAATTTATTTTTACGTCATTCCTATTGATACAAGATAAATTTTTTCCGTTTGTCCTCGTCTTAAATATATTTTATTTTATTTTATAACAATCTTTGAACAGCCGACTCAATTTTGGGTTTACGACTACTAAAGTTCTACTCTGTAGCCTTGTAATTTTGAACCAATCCAGAAGACAAGGAAACTCCTGGATCAGTACCCCCAGAGGTATGATTTGTTATGGGAACATGGAGGACTCTCAGACTCGACAGATTTAACGTGCATCAGTCACCATTTACTAGACGGGGAGTCTTCGGCCCGGCGGGGATCGACTCACGAACATTGGTCCAGCGCCCTACCGACCAGGCTATCCCGGGTTTTTCTTAAATATATATAATAAAAAAAAAATCTAGAAATTTTTATTAAGTATTATAGGTTAAATCTCTATTCTTTTTTTAAATGTTACCTCTGTCTTACCTGCCGCTCATGATTCTCTCTTTCAGAACACAAAACCAATAGAATGAAGAAATATGAAGTTTTTCACATTTTTAAAGACATGTTAAAGAAACATTTTGAAATGAAAATGTTACTTTTACATTAGTTTAGATTAATTTTATATCTAAGAAGTTTTCTTTTTTTTTTCGTCATGCAAGAGAGTTTAGCGAAAATTGTATACAGTAAAATTATATATTTTTTTCAGCCATATATTTCTAGGTCTAAAAATGTGTATCACGACTGAGTAAGTCACTTGATCCGCCCCTCGGCTTTTTGTTCTTGCAGACAAATATGAACATATTTTTAAAAAAGCGTATTGCTGGATTAGATTCACATAAAGAATAATTGCAGGCATCTAAAAGGCGACTATTCATTCTATATATTTCAATTATGCACATTATTGAAAACAATGGGTCGATTTTTTGTTGATAGAACATATAATTCGACACCTAACATGAAACTTAATATGGTTTCAATTCGAGCTATATTTAGAAGTATGCCAATCTATTTTCAATTAAAAACAAATTACCTGTTCCAAAAGAACTTGAGAAAGTAAGTCTTAAAAAATGTTCGTGATGGAATAAAAGAAAGAAGTTCATAGAAGATTGAAAATGTGGTAATGTATTCTTCATATGCCACACTTTCAGAACACTATGCAATATTTAATCAAAATAGAAAGTATGAAAGGACTAGTTAGTAATATTTCAGACAGCATTCTTTATAAATGTAGAAACGATTTGTTACGAATGGGGTGGTACCACGAACTAAAACATAAATAAGAACGAAATGTGCAATTTATCGGTTGAGAAAACAAAAACGTACTGACGGAATGAGATTATTCTAACATTTTTGGCAACAGTGATACGTTTTTAATCGATCACAAGTCATTTCTTCGATCAAGAAAGGGTCAAGCTATCATTCAGCAATGACACCACACTTGTCAAACGATCACCTGAACCATAAAAAAGATAAGTGTGTATCGGTTTCGATTCACTTCTTTTCACATACCAAAAATCAATTTCGCTAACAACCAAAACATTGTTCGCAGCACGTTATTTCATAATAAAGATGAAAAATGGTTGAATCACAAGTTGTGAAAAATGAGCAAGAAGCTTTCTGGTTCCAATATTTGAAACTACAGCAAAAGTTTTAATGTCTGGTGAAATTTTCTGAAATTAGATAATTCCCCTCTCGAGAAGCGGAACAGCAAGAATTTTTTGATAACGGTGATGTGATAGGTAAACCTAAGGAAAATAGAAAAGCCACAGTTTGAAAGCTAGTTAAAACAAGGCTTTTTATTTTATTCTATGGTTTTATTTAAAAACGAACAAATAGCTTAAAAAAAAAGTCAATTTGGTGAGATAATCAGATTTAGATGAAAATTATTGTAATCAATAAATTAACCATGAAAATTATTCAAATGAAATCAATTAATTTTCGCTTATTTTTAATGGACTCCAACCACAGCAGTGGAACAACTTTTAAAATAATAAAAAATTGGGTCATAATTTTATTTTCACTAAACTATGACTTTTCTTTGTATCGATGTCTTCCGTTATTACACAGGGCACCCACTGGCTATGAATTGACAAAAATTAACCTTGCAGTTATGAATAATAGTTCGAATTTACAACAGCATTTACCACGAGAGCTCTCTGAGGTTTTCTTTTCCATGTAACGCAAATGTGGGTTATTTCCATCAATAAGTTCTCCAAAAAGGATAGTTTGTTTCAAAGCTTGATCCAGGAGCTTCCTTGTCTTTTGGTTTCAAACTTACAAGGATACAGAGTTGAACAGTGGTAGTCGCAAACCCAAAATTTTATCGAGTGTTCTACGCCGTTAAAAATCAAGTCTTTGAGCCACGGTAGCTCAGGAAATAGAGCGTTTGTCTCTCAATGAGGTGACCCAAGTTTGAATCTAATAATGACTGGTTGATACAAATTCTGCTCTCGATCACGGTGATGACGGAATAAATTGGCAGATGGATCATGGATTAGAAACCCCTTGCCATCGGGTTAAGAGTGGGATGTTTTCAGAATTTTCCTCTCTGTGTAACGCATTTGTGGGTTACTTCCATCGAAAAATTCCATCACGAAGGCTTGTTTGCTCTAATGCTTGATACATGAGTCTTCTGGGAGGGGAACAAAATTGCAAGGCTACGAAGTTGAACATTGATAGTCGTAAACTCAGAATTGGATAAGCTGTTCAACGCCGGTTATAAAATAAAATACAACAAGCCTTCGAAAAACAGCCTCAACATGATTAATTAGGTAGCTCATTTAGCCAAGTGTTTTACTGAAACAATTAGTTCATCAATATTAACTGATACTACAATTAATTCACCGAAAATTCCTTTCACTATCATTTTATCATATCATCTATCTTCACTATCATTTTAACATTCAAATTAACTTTAATAAAGGAACTAATGATCAGCTTCGACTCCTGTATGGCTATGATCTCTGCACCATGAATGTCAACCATGAGAAGAATTTGATCCTTGAGGCACTAGTAGGAATACCATTATATTAATCTTTATATTTTTTAGAGATGCAAGCTTAATTGGAGACTATAACAAACTTTTCATTAGAGGTCCTCTTCCTAAACCACGATAACGACCCTTTTTTAACTGCGCAACGGTGGAGGCAGCATTAACATGGGTCAGTGACATAGTCATACATCGAAAAAAGGGGCAGCTTCTGCTGTCAAAAAGAAATCACTGGAGCACCAATAGATAGAAGTCTGATATGCTCCATTGCTTCAGGCATTAGCTGGTCAAAATGCAGTGGCCTTCAGGCCTAGAGTGGCCCAAGAAGGAGAAAATTCTCCCGACGTACTCCGCCCAGGAAGACTCTCTCGCCGCGATGAGGCTGCCCGAAGTATTTGAGCTTTATAACTCAAGTTTTGTAGGCTAGACCAGACCAGTCTTATTCCAATTGAAAAAAAGGTCCCCAACCTGTTTGAAATGTGCTGGTCATAAGACCACCCCTGACCATATTGTACTAGATTGTCTTCCTGACAAGATCTTTTCACAAACCCAATTCTAGCATTAGACTTTCTTAAAACTAGATTTCATAGACTTGATTTAGATGCAACGTCAACATTCTAATTAAACTTTCCGATGTTACAATCATTTCCATTTTCATGATACATATGAACAGAAGAATGATACATTTTATAATTTCTTCGTTTCTCAAAATTTAGAATTTTAAAAGTGCGTGTGGAATTTTTCTTCTTTTGGTAGGGCTGAGTTCTCGAAAAGTGTCATTTTAGCATGTTCAGCACTCTAAAGATTTCTACAGTTCTTTAAATGCTCAGAATTGCACTTTAAAAAGGGTAAAAAGAAGAAAAAAAATGCTTTTTTTTTCCTTCATTTATTTTATTTGAATACAAATACTTAAATATTTCGCTTGAACTTATTTGACTGCTGATATTGTTAATATCAGATTGTACAGTGGTTTTCACATGCTACAGAAATCGAAGAATAATTCGAGATTACAAATAATAGTCATCATCTAATGATATATTTTTCATTTCCAGGACTCTATCTCTTCCTGGTGACAGGCAGACCAACATTTGTTTATCCCGACTGGCCAGTGGACACCTGAAAAGTCTCACATTTTCTGCTAATCAAAAGATCTTTCCTCTTTGCCCTAAATGCCAACAAAACCAGGCATCACCTGAGCACTGTTTAGGGCTGGACTGGAATTACATTCATTCCTCTCCCCTTTTAGTTTCGGACTTCCTAAATGTCAACGGATTTATTGATCTGGTCTGACTCCGTCAGACCAGATAGGAATTAGCAACAACAACAACAACAACATAAATGAATTTGACCACCACTATATGTAAAAATTACAAAGATATAAAAATATAATAGTCTTTACGACAGCGAATTTCAACCAGATCAAAATATAATATATTTTTGAGTAAAATTGCTTTTCGGAAATTGTTTTACTACAGCCTGAAAAATCTTTTCTCGGAAAGAGTGAATGATGGCAGACACGGGTGTTATATATAGAGAAAAAAAATAGAGAGATGAAAGGAAAGAACAATGAAGTTTTAAGATGAAAGTTAGAGCATAAAGGATAAATGGCGAAGAAGAAAGACATAAGAAATTAGCATTAGGGAGAATATGAATGGAGGAAGGAAAAATTGATAAGTGGGCGAAGGTAAGAAAGAATTATAAGATGGATTATCAGAAAGAGATAATACATGGAGATAAAAGGAATATGGATAAATAAAGGAAAGAAAAAAGATATACAAGAACATGTGTGGACATGTTCTTTCCTTTTTGAAATGAAGGAAAGATAGACCTAAGATGAACAGGAACATGAATAGATAAAGCTGGAATTATTAAACATAAGGGGCTGAAGGGCATAAGAGAAAATAAGGATGAACATGACTGGATAAAGAACATGAGTGACGGGAAAAAAAATAAAGATAAATTACTTACTTGATGAAGAGTCCAAACAGAAACGAAGAAAGGGGTGTATGTAGGGTGTTAATTCGCACACTTCACTCTTCTTGTCATTAACATTGTTTTCGTTCTCATGGTGGTTGGGATCAAGGCCGTTGACACGGTTACGGGATTTTGTACCACCACGACCTATCCAAGAGAAAATATAACATAAAAAACATAGGAAATATAAAGAAAGTATTCACTGGTCATGAAAGAACATTTGGATAAATTAGTTAATGGAAATTTATGTAAAGCAGAGTATTTTTGATTTTTAGGTCGCTACTCCAATTGTGGTCACATAATTTAAATTTTTTGATCGCAAAAAAATTGCTAATTGCAAGTTACAACAAGTAAAAAGCTATTCACCTTGTACTACCCGATAAGGGCATACAAAGACATTGAATAGATGAGAAAAGCAATATAGCCCTCCCAAGCCCCCTCCCTGTATTTATTAGAACTAAAAGAGAACTTTAAATATACATAGATAGAAACGACTAAACAGAGATTATTCGAATATACAAAATTTAAAATCAAGCAACTACATCGGTAAGAATTCTTCATCATTTCAAATCAACTAAGACAAACGCCAAGCAAATCAAATTGACAATATAAGCTTTTTCTTTTAAAAATAAATAAATAAATAACATATAAAGCGCTAAAAATGAAATGGTAAGTCAAAAAGTTAAGTAAAATGTGAAAACTAGCTAAAATAGAATATAAAAAAAATCGATCAAAAAATTGAAAACAATGTAAAATATCGATTTTGTCTAAAAGTCACTAATTAACCAAAGAGTAACTATTGAGAAAGTCTAAAAGGAGTGCTGAAACTTCGTTATAAAAACGCAAAATAAAAAAGTTTAAAAAGTCCAGATATAAATGGCAAATAAATTTTTAAACCGTGGTTTTGAGATAAGTCGACATTTAGAATTTAGACTTTAATTATGAGATTTAGATTTTTAATGTAAATCGATTTTAATAATTTGCATTTCACGTTATTTTGATTTCTCTAGATTAAAGATGTTTTCAGTTTTTCATTAAAGAAAATAATTTCCTTGAAACATTTAAAACTAATGTTGAAAAGTTTTCCCATAAAATCAAAACATTGTTGACTTACCGTACTGAGGTACAAAAGAAGTGACCGACAAATTAAACGACTATGATCTAAGTTCATTTTGTCTAAAGCTAATTTTTTATGTTTAAAACCCATAAAAATATTCTGAAAAAATGTGTGCCTAAAATTTGTAAGAAACCATAGTAAATTATTAAATAATTACATATGCTTTTATTATATATATTTCTTAAATTTATAAAACAAACTGTTGAATGATTATTACGATATTGCAATGGAAAAAAAAAATGTACTTCAGATAAAGGAGGAAAAATTATTTGATTATTATATAAATCATACCAAAATTTTTTAACATGAAAATTATCAGTTTTAATACAAATGGATTCGTAGAAATTAATTTTCTGTTTAAAAACTATTAAAAAAAAACTTATTTGCTAGTTAATCTATTCATCAGAGATCATCAATAAATTTTTTTATTTAATTAAAGATGCAAAGTGTCAACAGAAAACATGTTTAAAACCATAGAACCGATTGATTTTATATAAGCCATTTTATTTATTCATTTATTGAAAGTAGAATTAAATATTTTATGGCAGATAAAAACCAACGAAAAAAATAAATTTTATTAAAAATTCTTTTTAAAAAGTACTTAAACATATATACAACTTAAAATATACAACTATTACAAACGCAGACATTAACGTACTATCAGGTCTTTTTTCTACTTTGACAGTTCCCTGTAGCTTACAGTATGAAGATTAATTAGGATTATTCTTTTCAGGGCAAATTTACAACCGTTTACTGCTACCTTCACAAAGTCATTGTTTGATAAAACGCACACCTTCTATATTATAACTAATTCAGTTCTAAAGCTTTACAAATAGGGTTTATGTTAACATAAAAAATGTCGCCAAAATCATACTATTGGACGAAATATTTGTAGTTAGAAATATTCACATTCTACCATTCATATTATTACATTAAAAAGTAATCGGGATTTTAAAAATCGTGGGCTACCAAAAAAGTGATTAACAGAACCACGTGGATTTACGAAAACATCGTGACAATTCGAAGGCGTCTAAATGAGATTACTTTAAAGTGCGATTCAAGCTTAGAGAGTAGTAAATATAGCGTATTAAACTTACTGTTTTTTTTTTTTTTTAAATACAATGTGGAAATTAGTAACAATAATAGCAAGAAAAAAAATCAGAAAACCGCATGAATTTCAGATGGGATCGTCGCACGACGAACACCTCAAAAGATTGATTTCTCTTACAGTATTTGATTCCAGGATCGCGTGACGTAAATCAAAGAATATACACATAGGGGAAGAAGGCTAGCTTCCGCAGACATAATGTAAACTAGTCACCCAAGATTTGTCGTGGTCCCTGTGTATAAAGGAAAAAATAACATTTTGGGGCACGCAGCAATTCTTGAAACTGCTTTCCACTCTCCTCTCCTCCCAACCACTACTGGGGTTGGGGAAAAGAAAAGTTTTTTCTTCTTTTTTTTATATTTATTATTGGTTTGTTCTGCATTTTACACTATTGATAAACGGTACAGTTTTGTTAATGAAGACATTCCTTTGAGAATACATTAATATCATTCATGTTGATTAAATCAGGTAACACATTTTGACAAAAAAAAGAAAAAAAAATGGTAGGGAGAGTGGTATAGTTTATCTACGGTAAGAACTCCCCCCGCCACAAAGTCTGAGGCCGTCTGCTGCAATGGAAACAAGAATAGCGCATTTCAGGGATAGTAGCTTCTCTTCACTCTAGGGCTAACACAATAGACTGAAGAAAAAGATTCCATTTTTCTCGCCGACTCCACACCCTTACTTGAAATAGCTATACCTCGTTACTAGACGAATGGTTAGGGTCTAGATGAATGGTTAGGGGAGTTCTTACTTAAGACAAACTACAACGTACCCAACCATGCATGTAGAGTTTACAAACAACCGGTTCACAGGTGACGTACCTCCTGATAGACTCTTTGCTTCTTATGCGCATACTCTAGATTTTAGTATATAAGATGCTCTGTTAAATATGAGTATGTTGCTCACCATGTAAGTTTATTTTCTGGTATAACATACCGAATACCTTTCTGTATTCTTTGACTTGAAATATACCGTAAAAAAAGAGAAGGGGGAATCTTAAAAACTATGCGACGTTTAAAAACCTTTAAACCTAAAAAAATATTTAAAATACTTAAAATATATGATATTATGTATGCTGCTCTATGTATAAATGTGCACAATAATTTATAAAACCTTACATTATGTACATAATTTATACATCGTTTTGCTTTAACTTTTTCACGTTTGTTCACAATTATATTATTGGACTAATAAATTTCGATTGCTAATGTGAGTTATATTAATAAACTACTTTTGTAAAAAAAAGTTCTTATATTCTCCCATCCTTTTAAAAATTTTCTACTGTGCTAGCTGTTCGAAACGATAAATAAATAACTATATTGGAGTCGATAGGATTAGTAGCTTTGAGATTCTGTATTCTCAAATTGATTCCATTTTGTATAGGATACTGTGAATAACCGAAATTGCACAGGTGAATGCTGATAAACATATAGTCGCTTTAGTAAATGTCCGAAATATATACTAGGTCTACTTAAGTGCCACTACCAGGTATGCATTTGCCCGGTATACTCTACATCAAAGTTCTTTTAAGGTCAAGTGCCACTGCTTAGTAGGCATTTAACCGGTAGAACACTGATGTTTCGCCTAATCTATCCTCAGCAGATATTAAAATATCGAATAAATATAATAATATCAACGAAGAAATTTATATAATATCGGATATAACAAATATTTCTGACATTCACCAAAGCGACTATGTGATTGTTGACATTCGCCGGGTGAAAGTCGACATTCTCTAGATTTCGGTCCTTCACGGCAACATATATATATCTGAACGCACAAATGACATAACAATCTTAGAATAATGATTTAAGAATTATCATAAATGGAACTGACAGTCTCTTCGACACAGAATGGTAAAATTTTTTTATCTAAATTTTAACGTTTCTTTAATGTTCATAACATTTGTCACAAATTCGAAAGAATTCTGAGAGTAAAACGAAGCTTAAATCATCTTTTTCTATGAACTTTAAAATACTGAATATTGAAACACTATTCTAAGAATATTTATTTTCTGTTTACAATTTTATTCTAACAAAACCTTAAAATATTTATGAAAAATTTCTTCTTCTAAATCAGTCGAGAATTAGTTCTGTATATTTAAGTTGATTATTTTGATTTTTTAAAATTTGCATAAATTTTAACAAATAATTTTTTAAGTTTCACAAAAAATGAACCCCTTAAAAAAAAACCTGCTTATTAATCTTCCGAGTCACTGGAACGATTTGTAAGTTCTTTTTTTAAAAATAAAATTCCTTGATTTGAAAATTCACTAACATGTTTCACTGATTCGCAAATTCATTTTATTTTATAACCGACGTTAAACACCCGGCACAATTCTGAGTTTACGACAATCAATGTTCAACTCTGCAGCTTTGTAATTTTGAACCCAACCCAGAAAACAAGGGAACTCCTGGATCACGCATTGGGACAAAATAGCCTTGGTGGAGGACTTTAAGATGAAAATAAAACACATTTGCGTTATATGGAGAGGAAAATCGCGAAAACTCACAATTTTCCCAAAGGCAAGGGAATATAACCCAAGTTCCGCTTACCACTGAGAATATTTTACGTCAGTACTGTTGTCAGTGGTTCAGAATTCGTACTAGCCATCCATCGCTGGGATTCGAACTTAGGTCACCATATTGGGAGGCGAAAGCTCTATCCTCTCAGCTGCCGCGGATCTATCAAATTATTAGAATAATGATTTACTGATTCGCAAACTCATCAACATGATAATTCATTGATTCGCAAATTCATTAACATGATTCATTGATTTGAAAATATACCGATTAAATGATTCGCTAACTGAGTTGTACGCCGTGAAAGATTCATTTAAACGTTAATTTATTAATATACTGATTCACTAATTCACCACATTCTCCATTCATTGATTCGTTCTTTTCCCCCTCTTTCTTT